CAGTTGTTTTAATTGTCATATTTGAATTCAGCACATCAAAATACATAATAAATAGCATGCTTTATCTCTGAAGCAGACAACTTCTAAAAAAATGTAGACTAGTGTTATATGATTGCACTTTATTTTTTTCACATTGCATACACAGAATGAAAAATACTCAGGGAATGAAAGCAGTTATCATAATGTATGTCCCCATCTTTTTTTTTTAATGTACCCCATCCAAACCCTGCACTCAGTTATTATTTAACCAAGAGAGGAAGGAGCATCTTCGCGGGTAAACCTAGTGAGGAGGGCTTTAAACTAGGTTCGTTGGGGGACAGTGACCAAAACCCTGAGGGGAGTGGGAAAGTCGGATACCAGGAAGAAATGCAAAGAGGAACGAGGAAGAAAGGAGGACCCCTGATTCGAACGGAGAAGATAGGGCGATCAACTGGTTATCTGACGTATTTGTACACTAATGTGAGAAGCCTGGGCAACAAACAGGAAGACCTGGAGGCCCTGGCCCAGTCCAAGACATATGATTTAATTGGGATAACAGAGACGTGGTGGGACAACTTGCATGACTGGAGCACTATCTTGGAAGGATATAGACTGTTCAGGAAGAACAGACAGGGGCAAAAAGGAGGAGGAGTTGCACTATATATAAGAGAGCACTATGATTGCTCAGAACTCCAGTATATAGAGGGAGAAAAACCTGTTGAGAGTTTATGGGTTAAGTGTTGTTATAACCTTGATTGGGCTAGATGTCACATCTTTGCCCTTCTGAAGTGCATTTAAAAAAAAACCCAACTCCCCTAGAAAAGTAGCTGAGGATCCAGAGCTCAGACTCTAAAGGTATGTCTAAACTATATCACTTTTTAGATAAAGGGATGTGAATTAGACATTTCGAAATTGGAAGTGAAGCCGGGATTTGAATTTCCCATGCTCCATTTGCATGATGGCAGCTGTGGCTTCTTCTGAGTTTTACAGGCTCTTTCAAAATGGAGTATTTCTTTTGAAAGATCCCCATCTTGAGCACAGGTTTTTTTTGAAAAGTGGCTTTTGGAACAAAAGCCGCAGCCGCCATTATGCAATCGAAGCATGGGAAATTGAAATCCTGGCTTCATTTGCAATTGTGCTATGTCTAATTTAATCCCTTTAGTGAAAAAGTGATGTAGTTTAGACATACCCTTAGGGTATGTCTACACTGCTGGCTTCTTGCACAAGAACGGCTGTTCATTCGCAAAAACTTGCAAAGCGTGTACACTGCATACATGTTCTTGCACAAGTAAATTTACAGTAAGGCATCAGAACTGAGGACTTCTTGTGTAACAGTTGTGATAGCGCGTATGAGGGAGAAGCCCTCTTGCACAAGAGGGTATTGTGGACAGACACCCAAGAGTTTTTGCACAAGAACGGGCCTCCCTGGAAAAAAACGCAGGTAGCCACTTATACGCTCCGTACACGCATTAAAGCTTGCTGCTTCCTGCTTTGCTGGACCCCCCCCCCTTAAAGGCACAGGCACCGTGCAGATTCCACGTGGCAGCAGAAGTAACTTCTGTAGCCCCACTACGTGGCTCTGCCCTGCTGTACCCAGGAGCCCAAATGTCTGCTCCCAAGGCCCCCTGAGAGCCTGCACCCTCCTCCCAGCAGCCACCCCAGGGCTCCCAGCAGGCACGGAGGGGCACAAAGTGGCCTGAACCTTGCTGGTCCAGGGCTAAGGTGGAGGCCCCCCTGGACCTTTGGGCGGAGGAAGTCCTCCATGACCCCCCTCCTGATGCCGAAATGCCGACATCTTTGCCCACATGGCCCAGGTGCTCTCTGAACAGGGACCGCCAGCCCGGACCCTTGAACAGGGCTGGGCCAAAGTCAAAGAGTTGCGCCTGGGCTACCTCAGGACCACTGAGGGTGGGGGCAGGCACCTGCCACCACTACAACTGTCTGCACCCCATCTTGGGTGACATGGTGGTACAAGGGCCCTCGGCGGCGGTGCACCCCGCAGTGGTCAGGCCACCAGACCTAGGGGAGGGTGACCTGACCAGTGACTCTGAGACGAGGGGGACGACCACAGCACCATTGTCACCCTGCACCTCAAGCCAGAACCTAGTAGCCGGGACACTGACCGGGCCTTGTCTGAGGCTGGTGACGGATCCACTGGTGAATGTAGCGCTTCACCCTTGCAAGCATCAGGGGAGGCAGGTGCGACCCTAGTGTGGGACCTGGCAGAACATCTCCTTGAGGGCCTCCAAGATGCTCACCCCATCGTGGTGCACTTGCAGATGGTGGCTGTGTGCGGCTGCTCAAATGCCCAGCCCTTGCCTGCCATCCACCCTGGGAGGAAGGCCTCCCCCTTCCACATTATGATGTTGTGCAGCACACAACACACTGCCACAACCTCTATGACGTCCTGCTCACTTGTTTTGAGATGGGTGAGCAGACAACGGAATCTCGCCTTCAGCAGTCCAAAAACACACAAAACTTGCTTGCGGGCCCGGTTCAGGTGCTGGTTAAATGTTTTCTGGCTAGGGTCCATCTGTCCGATGTATGGCTATATCAACCAGGGCATGAGGGGGGTAGGCCGCATCCTCCCATGATGCACAGAAACATATGGAAGTCCCCAGCCAGCAATTCCAACTGGGGTAAGAAAGGGTCCATCTCTATCCTGCGAAACAGGATTCCCTCTTCCCCGAACATGCCAGCGCCCCTCAACACAGAGCCCCCCCCAAACCAGCAGGACTATGTGAGGGAGGGATGGCTCAAGCCTGTGGGTGATGGGGCTTCCCCTAGTCCGTCTATTCCCCTCCCAGCCTGGAGTCTTCTCTTCCCTGGGGCAGAGAGTGCACTCCTTCAAAGGGCTTTACCTGCATCAAGATGGCACCCACTGTGGACCTACCCACCCCAAAATGGTATGCCACCGAGTGGTCGCTGTCTGAGGTGGCCAGCTTCCATAGGGCGATCGTGACCCTTTTGTTCACGGGGATGGCGGTCCGCAGCTGGGTGTCACGTCTGAGCAGCGCAGGGGCGAGTCAGGTCCAGAAACATCTGCTTTGGCAGCTTGAAGTTCTGGAGTCTCCAGTATCACCTCTCTATGGTTGGGTGGGGATGCCACAGAGAAGCCACCAAATCCGGGGAGAGGGAATCCAGAGTGAGCTCAGCATCGAGCTAGTGCAGGAGTAGCGAGGCAGCATGGAGTAGCAGCTGCACGCACTCCAAAATGGCCATGTGGGGCAGGAGGAGGCACAAGGCCATCCCTGGTTCCATGACACAGAAAATAGGAGTGAAAAGTCTCCAAAAGGCACTAGGGCGCAAGCTGTGGTATCGAAAGATGCTGAGGACAACCACAACAGGCACTGCTACTGCTTTCCATCCCTACAAGAGGGCCCAAAGCACGCAGCAGCAGAGAAACGGCTGTCCAAGGAGATCCCCTTAAGCACATGACTCAGAGGAGATCCAGCTCCCACCCTCATAAGGTACTGCTGCACTTTTGCCCTCTCCAAAGTGCTTTGAGCACTGTGGACACACTTTTGCGTAAGAAGCCTGCAGTGTAGACGTAGCCTAAGGGTTTCCAGCAAGGGTTGCACAGGGTCAACCTCTCTATATTCAAGTACAAAAATAAACTGAAATAAAAAGTCATTTAATAAACTTTACTTCATAATCTATTTACTATATAATCTAAATCACATTTACTTTAAAATCCAAATGTTTACAATATAACATAGCTATTTTATAACCCATAGACATTATCTTCACAATTAAAATAAACATAAATAAAAGAAAACCAGTAGATTTGAACAGTTCAACCCCCACAAAACACAGAAAGATGAAATTGGGAGATCTCAAAATCTTGGGTTTAGTTCTCCTAAGTCTCAGTTAGTGGTTTTGATCACCAAATCAGCACCATTTTCTGAGTCAGAAACATTTTTCCTTCACTTGCCTGTAGAAATCCTCAGGTGGAATCCACGCAGACGCTTCCTCTGCTGTGCATCACTGCTAGACAGTCAGCTAACTGACTAGTATGTGTGTTCTTTCCCCATTTAAAGAAAAGCTGATGAAACACACTAGTAGAGAAAGTTCACTAGAACAGTTTGGCTAAAATCCAAACAACATTCAAAATGTAAAATTAAAACAGAAGTTATTCTTCTCTCCCACTTTTCCTTTGTTATAATTAACAGGGAGCGAGGGGAAAGTACACACATGCATAAAAACCCTCTCACTCCTGGCTGGTGAGGGGAAGAGTAGAGAAGTAATTCACAAAACCTGTGTAAATGCTTCAGAGGGGTAGCCGAGTTAGTCTGCAACTGGAAAACCTTAAAAAGCAACAAATAGTCTTACAGCACTGTAAAGACTAAAAAACCATGTAGATGATATCTGTGTGGTTTCCCCTCACTCCTTGATAGTCAGAGGAATGGAAGGGAGAGCAAACAGCATCCTGGCATACATGGCTGCTGTCCCCACTGCTCTCTCAAAATGGCGCCCTTGCTCTTTAGGTCTCTTCTTACCCATATCTTGTCTGATTCTATGGAGATTCCAGTCCCTACTGCTCATTTTAGGGCCTCTGAATGACTAGACATTTGTACCACGTCCAGGGCTCCTCAGTCTCAGGAAATCTAGCTCACAGTCAAGAGTAGTTTGCTCTTGTCTGAGATATTAATTCACACACATTCAAGAAAAAAGGATCATGCCATCCTAATTATAACATACTCCTCTGCCACTATCCTCAAGAAGCAAAGCTCTGAATGGAAATCATCTAATTTTAGGGCATGGAGAAGTAAGAAAAACTATTTGATCAGTAAAGAGGAATAAGGGGACGATTTTGTGGAGTTTCATCATAAGCAGCTTTATGAAACCTCATCGCTCGGCCTGCACCTGGCACAATGTAAAGCCCTCATTGATACCTTCTTCAGTTTGGGATTACCCAGAACTAGGATAACAGAGTGCACAGAGGGATAAGCCACCATTATCACACCACACCACACCGAGGTGGAGAGACTGTTGGCAAATAATTCTGTGAATAATATTACCTGTGCAACAAAATAAGAAATGTGGAAGATAATGAAAGAGAGCTGTCCTTGAATTGCTCTGACATGAACCTGGGTAACAGTGTCCCTGCAGCTGCCTGTGGTTTTTTCCATCCTTTTAGTGTGTCTCCACAGAGACATGATTAACAGTGCAGAGGAAACAATAAATATAATGAAGGGAAAGGAATGGCAAAGCATGTACAAAATGAAAAGTCCAGAAGAAAAGTTAGTGTAGTATGTCCACTCCCCTGTGGTGTTTCCTGGTAGATTAGTCATTGAATTGTTTATGTACTTCCGATCAATGGAATAAACTGAAGAGAGACTGGTGACAAAGGAGACCAGAAAGGTTCCCATGAGTAGCTGTGGCATTAGCCCTAGTAGTCTCCACTTCAGGCAGAGGAAGATGGGTTGGCTGAAATTGGCAATCTTTGCACAGTAGAAGACACTCAACAAGGAGGCAAACCAGAGACTGAGAGTACTTGTAAAACACCAGAGAAAATCCAGGGTTCTCAGCAAATCAAGATGTGCATTATCCTCTGAAGATATTTGATAGATGGTAGTATTAATGATTATCATGCACTGAAAGAACAATCTGGAGATACCCAAGCTAGTCAGGATCATGTCACAATAGCTCAGATTTCTGCTTCTGATCCACTCTAGGCAATTCACAACCACTATCAGTCCGTTTGCTATCATCCCTACAATGAGCTCCATTCCTAAAATGATCAAAGCAATAAAAATGAAAAACATGTTTCTCTGTGTTGTCAACAAAGTTGCTCAGCTTCTGAAGCTCCAACAGAAATTGTCCCAATGCCTCACGGAAGTGCTGACTTCTGGTGCTTATGTGCTCTGCAGTGCTCTGCCTTTGTATCACAGCCGAAGGTGAGGGGGAGAGGTTTTCAGCTACTGAACACAGAAGACTCAGCTGTGTGAGCTGGCATGCAATGCAAATCTCAGACAGATTCTATTACATTTGCGGTGATGTATTCCTTTCTGGTGCCTTTTATTCGTACATCCCCTTCCTCACTGCTGTGCACTTACTGTCTTCACGGAGATTTTTCTATTCATCTGCTTTCCTGATTTTTATTAGTATCAATTTTATTGTTGCTGCTTCATATTCAGCAGGGACTGCTGCTGTTCATTCTAGTCCAGACAATGCTGGATACTACTCCTAGGTTGCTCCCGTTGCACAGCACAGCCACAAGATTTCCATAAGCTTGTGTTCAAAAGCATCAGTTTTTTTTACATAGTTTGCATTGGCTCCCTGCTGTTCGCATTTGCCAAAGCTAGCTTTCAGTTTTAAGAGTTAAAGATTGACGTGATCTGCCTGGAAAGTGCAGGTACACTTTTTCTGAATTCCAATCCACAAATGCCCTAACTCTCCCAGTTAGTCCAGCCAATCTGTCTCTTAGCAGGGATCCCTCCACAGGCAAAAAAACCGTCTCATCATTCCAGGAAGTATGTGACTAGTCCACAGGCCATGATAGTCTCTCTTCTAAAAACAGAATCTGCCAGCGGGAATGTTCGTCAGTCACAACAGAGACCTAGCTGTAATGAAATGGATGCAAATCTGTGCAAGGTTGCATTGCAGATTATCCATACCAAACAAATCTTTGCTAGCACTATCTGTACATATCAATTTATATGCAAAATACAAACAGTGAGTGAAGTGTTCTTTTCTTGTTGGGAGTATTAGAATCAGTTTGTGGGTAGAGGTGGAGAGGGTTTGCAGGCACTGGCTTAAGGTACAATGGCTAAGAACTTGAAAAAAATGGATGCCTGAAATCAGATTTCTAGTTCGTATTTAGACACCAAATAGGAAATTGATACATTCTCATACTGTAGAACATCTCACAGTGCTCCTCAAAGCCAATCTGAAAATGTCAAAATTGCGCTCTTTGTGAAATGTTAAAGGAAAGTTAGGTTGCAAAATTAAGCAGTGAAAGGTTAGGAAATGCCCATGCAAAATCTGTCCCATTGTGTGTATGCATTATGGGACAGTCTTTTAATTACATGATTTCACATTATTTTTTCCACATTGCATACACAGAATGAACAATACTCAGGAAATGAAAACAGTTATCAAAATGTATGTCCCCCTCTTTTTTTCTTTATGTACCCCACCCAAACCCTGAATTCAGTTATTATTTAACCAAGAGAGGAAGGAGCATCTTCGTGGGCAGGCTTGCAAACCTAGTGAGGAGGCCTTTAAACTAGGTTCGTTGGGTAGCCTCTTTCGAAAAAGAGCATCTAGACTTCAACCAGTACTTTCAAAAAAGCAAACCGCTTTTTCGAAAGAGAGCACCCAGGTAGTCTGGATGCTCTTTTTCGAAAAAGCACAGTTTACATTACATAGCGCCTTTTTTTGAAAGAGCACTTTTGAAAAAAGGCATTATCCCTCATAAAACGAGGTTTTCCACGGTCGAAAAAAACTGTCGCACTCTTTTGATTTACTTTCAAAAGACTTGCATGACTGGAGCGCTGTCGTGGAAGTGTATAGTCTGTTCAGGAAGAACAGGCAGGGGAGAAAAGGAGGAGGAGTTGCACAGTATGTAAGGGTACGTCTAGACTACAGGGTTTTGTCGACAGAAGTTTTGTCGACAGATACTGTCAACAAAGCTTCTGTCGACAAAGAGCGTCTACTCTACATTCAGATCTGTCGACAAAGCAAGCTGCTTTGTCGACATGGCAGTGTAGACGCAAGGACAGTTTACATGCAATAACGCTTTCTGTCGACAGAACTCTGTCGACAGAAGGCGTTATACCTCATGAAATGAGGTTTACCAGCGTCGACAAAACTGCTGAGTTCTGTCGATGTTATGTCGACAGAACTCAGCGGTAGTGTGGACACAGGTATAGTTTTGTCGACAAAACCCTGTAGTCTAGACACACCCCAAGAGAGCACTATGATTGCTCAGAACTCCAGTATATAGAGAGAGACAAACCTATTGAGAGTCTATGGGTTAAGTTTAGAATTGCAAACAACAGCAGTGATGTTGTGGTTGGTGTTTACTACAGGCCACAGAATCAGGTGGATGAGGTAGATGAGGCTTTCTTAGGACAACCGAAAGAAGCTTCCGGATTGCAGGCCCTGGTTCTCGTGGGGAACTTTAATCACCCTGGCATCTGTTGGGAGACCAATACGGCAGTACAGGCAATCCAGGAAGTTTTTGGAGAATGTTGGGGATAACTTCTTGGTACAAGTGCTGAAGGATCCAACCAGGGGCCGTGTGCGCACCTTGACCTTCTGCTCACAAACAGGGAGGAACTAATAGGGGAAGTAGAGCGGGGTAACAACCTCAGAAGCAGTGATGATGAGATGGTAGATCTCAGGATCCTGACCAAACAAAGAAAAGAGAGTAGTAAAATACACACCTTGAACTTCAGAAAAGCAGATTTTGACTCCCTCAGAGACCTGATGGACAGAATCCCCTGGGATGTTAACATGAAGGGGAAAGGAGTCCAGAACAGTTGGCAGTATTTTAAAGAAACTTTATTGAAAGCACAGAAAGAAACCATCCCTTTGTATAGCAAGAGAGGCAAACTTGGTAGGAGCTTACAGGGGAACTCCTTGGTGAACTTAGGCACAAAAAGGAAGCTTACAAAAAGTGGAAATTTGGACAAATGAGCAGGGAGGGGTATAAATATATAGCTCGAGAATACCGGAGGGTTATCAGGAAGGAATTGCAACTGGCAAAGAATGTCAAGGCTAATAAGAAAGGTTTCTACAGGCATGTTAACAAGAAGAAGGGGATCAGAGAGGGTGCAGGGCCCCTAGTGGATGAAGGAGGTAACCTAGACACAGATGTTGTGGGGAAAGCTGAAGTACCCAATGCTTTCTTTGCCTCTGTATTCACAATCAAGGTCGGCTCCCGGACTAATGACACAAGATGGGATGAAGATGGACAGCCCTTGATGGGTAAAGAACAGGTTAGGAACTATTTAGAAAAGCTAAACATACACAAATCCATAGGTCCAGACTTAATCCGAGGGTAATGAGGGAGTTGGAAAATGTCATTGAGGAGCCTTTGGGCATTATCTTTGAAAAATCGTGGAGATGGGGAGAGATTCCGGATGATTGGAAAAAGGCAAATGTAGTGCCCATCTTCAAAAAAGGGAAGAAGGAAGGTCCAAGGAACTATAGGCTGGTCAGTCTTACCTCGATTCCTGGAAAAATCATAGAAGGGATCCTTAAGGAATCCATTTTGAGGCACTTGGAGGAGAGGAAAGTGTTCAGGAATAGTCAGCATGATTCACAAAGGGCAAGTCGTGCCTGACCAGTCTGATTAGCTTCTATGATGAGGTAACTGGCTCTGTGGACATGGGAAAGTCAGTGGATGTGATATACCTTGACTTTAGCAAGGCTTTTGATACGGTCTCCCACTATACTCTTGCCAGCAAATTAAGGAAATGTGGATTGGATAAATGGATAGTAAGATGGAAAGAAAGATGGCTACAAGGCCAGGATCAGCGGGTAGTGATCAACAGCTCAATGTCAGGATGATGGTCGGTTTCTAGCAGAGTGCCCCAAGGTTCAGTTCTAGAACCGGTTTTGGATGAGGGGATGGATTGCACCCTCAGCAAGTTTGCTGATGATACTAAGCTAGGGGGAGAGGTAGATATGCTTGAGGGCAGAGATAGGGTACCGATTGACTTAGACAAATTGGAGGATTGGGTCACAAGAAATCTTATGAGGTTCAAAAAGGACAAGTGCGGAATCCTGCACTTGGGACGGAAGAATCCCAAGCATTTTTACAGGCTGATGACCAACCAGCTAAGTAATAGTTCTGCAGAAGAGGACCTGGGGGTTACATGCTGGAGGGCAGGGATAGGGTCCAGAGTGACCTAGACAAATTGGAGGATTGGGCCAAAAGAAATCTGATGAGGTTCAACAAGGAGAAGTGTAGAGTCCTGCACTTGGGACGGAAGAATCCCAAGTATTATTACAGGCTGGGGACCAAATGGCTAAGTAGTAGTTCTGCAGAAAAGCACCTGGAGATTACAGTGAAGAAGAAGCTGGATATGAGTCAACAGTGTGCCCTTGTAGCCAACAAGGGTAATGGCATATTAGGTTGCATTAGGAGGAGCATTGCCAGCAGATCCAGAGATGTGATTATTCCCCTTTATTCGGCTCTGGTGAGGCCACATCTGGAGTATTGTGTCCAGTTCTGGGCCCCCCACTACAGAAAGGATGTGGACACATTGGAAAGGATCCAGTGGACGGCAACCAAAATGATAAAGGGGCTGGAGCATATGACCTACGAGTAGAGGCTGAGGGTATTGGGTCTATTTAATCTGCAGAAGTTAAGAGTGAGGGGGGATTTGATACCAGCCTTCAATTTCCTGAAGTGAGGTTCCAAAGAGGATGGAGAGAGGCTGTTCTCAGTAGTGACAGATGGCAGAACAAGGAGCAATGGTCTCAAGTTGTGATGGGAGAGGTTCAGGTTGGATAATAGGAAAAACTATTTCACTAGGAGAGTGGTAAAGCACTGGAATGGGTTACCTATGAAAAGAGTGGCGTCTCCATCCCTAGAGGTGTTTAAGTTTTGGCTTGACAAAGCCCTGGCTGGGTTGATTTAGTTGGCATTGGTCCTGCCTAGAGCAGGGGGCTGGACTTGATGACCTTCTGAGTTCTCTTCCAGCTCTATGGTTCTATGATTCTATTATCCTGCTGGTCATTCCTCGTGTAATATCGGACTGCTGCACCAACATTA